GGGGGTGGTGCCAAACTGCCTTCCCTCTAGTCTTAAACTGCTAAAGTAGGGCCGGCAAGCGCAGATAGCTCTCGTGTAGCTTTGCGCGAAATTCCAAAAAAACAAACAAACATTTTCAAATGTTTCCCTTAATTATTGTACAAGCCTTGATTGAAATCTTGCTATAGTGCCACATGAAATGGTTTGATCATTTACTAATGAAATACAGTTATAAAGAAAGTTTAGATATGATTAGGAAGAGAAAGTACTAGACCATCATGTAATATTAGAGCAAATATATTGGTTTAAGATTTCTATTATAATTTCTGTAAATATTTATTTCAGTTCCTCTTGTCTATTAAACTATCTGTTTGAAAGATACAGAAACTTTCTGTAGTAGAAAACATCAGAGGTTATACGGTTTAGAGATGGTTTGAATTGGTAACCAAAAACTTTATTACGAGTTTAACACAGTAACAAATTTATAATGTTTAGAGAAGGTTTTGTTATCATCAGGTGCGAGTAGTTTATATAGACACAGGAATACATACAAAGTATGAAATAAAGTAGTTATATGATTAGAGATTGCTCAAGTTGTAATAAAGGTATTTTGTTGATATTTGGTTCTTTGTTTAAATACACCTTTTTTAATAGAAACACCATGGTTTTATCGAGTTGTAGTGTTTGTAAGTATAAGTCATCAAATCAGAAAAGTTTAATTAATTTTACTGTCTAGTGAGTATGGTATTTTACTGTCTTGTGAGTATGGTAAGTGACTGTCTAGTGAGTATGGTAAGTGACTGTCTAGTGAGTATGGTATTTTACTGTCTAGTGAGTATGGTAAGTGACTGTCTAGTGAGTATGGTATTTTACTGTCTAGTGAGTATGGTAAGTGACTGTCTAGTGAGTATGGTATTTTACTGTCTAGTGAGTATGGTATTTTACTGTCTATTGAGTATGGTAAGTGACTGTCTAGTGAGTATGGTATTTTACTGTCTAGTGAGTATGGTAAGTGACTGTCTAGTGAATATGGTCGGCAACTGCAAAATATTCTGATGGCTCAGATCTTTATTGAATATCATTTTTATGCTTATCTTATTCAAACAGTATATAAAAATTTATTGGCTAACTGGCTACTTAATTATTTGTAATTGCAATTGTGGTATGTTTAAATAAAAATACCATTATTGGTGATAGTAGAACATGTTTTTCATTATTTATTTTTGAATTTATTTGATTTACAAAAGATCAGTGTTGGATTACTGCATATTTTATAAACAAACATAATGATGACCAGATGATGGTATTAAGACAAACACTAGGAAATCATTCACCAAGTATGAAATGTTTTTTAGACAAAATATGCAAATGTAAATCTTTAAAAGAGGTCTGTCACAAGAAACCAAGGGTAATTCAAGAATTATTTAATGAAAGAAAACAAAAAAAAATGTTAGTACCATGTTAAAATAATGCTGTGGTTGAAAAATGTTATGAGGCTAGCATTTGTTCAGTTTCTTATTTCTTTGCTTGTTGGAGGTATTTACTAATCAACTGATTGAATGTAGTCAATTAATGAACCTAATGATTAATCAGTTAGCAAATACCATTCATTGCTCAGCTCTAATTCTGAGATAAGTTACTCAGGGTGGAAGTATATGTGGTACAGAACACTATAAAGTGAGGGAAGTTATTCAGTGTAGAGGTATATGTGGTACAGAACACTGTTCTGTGGATATGTGTTCTGAGGGAGGTTAATCAGTGTAGAGGTATATGTGGTACAGAACACTGTTCTGTGGATATGTGTTCTGAGGGAGGTTAGTCAGTGTAGAGGTATATGTGGTAAAGAACACTGTTCTGTGGATATGTGTTCTGAGGGAGGTTATTCAGTGTAGAGGTATATGTGGTACAGAACACTGTTCTGTGGATATGTGTTCTGAGGGAGGTTATTCAGTGTAGAGGTATATGTGGTACAGAACACTGTTCTGTGGATATGTGTTCTGAGGGAGGTTAATCAGTGTAGAGGTATGTATACAGAGATTTTAAGTTGACATACTTTTGTAAATGAGAATATTTTGTTATTGTTAAGCTTAATGTCTCAAAGCTTATTGGTAAACTTAATTATCCAAAATGCAAAGACTTCACTTCTCATATTGATTGTAGGGTTTGTATACATGTTGGTCTGGTTAGCAGGTTCCAAATTAAAGTTATTCTAGTCCCACAAGAAAGGTATCTTTTAACAACATGCCCTTGTGTTAATTGTGACATATCTCACTATCAAGATGATATTATTGAAGCTAAATGTCATAAATATTTTGGGTTTAAGCCGAATGTTACAAATCACAACATTTAGATATTGTTTATTGATTTAGGGACAGGTTCCAGCTGGGTTATCAACAGAAGCAAAGAATGGCAAGGAAAGCTCTGCACACAAGGTAAATAAAGAATTGTGATTTCTCCAGTCTTGAGAACCTACCATTGAAATGCCACTTTCACTTTAGAGAAATCTTAGAGGCACCAGTTCCTCCATAAGAATTTTAACCTCCTGTCACCAGTTAAATGAATTGATTAAAGGACAACTATCTTTTGTATTAAATATTTCTCATCTTTAATTTTTTACATAACTTTCAGGTTAACATGTTGTACTGCTAACAGTAGGTTACTGCTTCTGCTTTGTTTAAAAAACTAAATTTGTAAGATTTACAGAATTGCACGTTTTTCAGAATTATGTCAGTTTTGTGAATGCACAGACAAATTGGTTACCAAGGGGATTTAACTTAGAGACCACAATGCTTACTGTAGGAATTCGAAACTAACCCACCTAATCTGTTATGATAGTTTGAGTTTTTCAAATCTATTTGTGAATTTGTCTCACAGTATTTAAAAGAAGCACAGAATGAAGAAGATTGTGATGAAAACCACGGTGGCCTTGGTGCTGTTGACAGAACTCTTAGGTTAGTGATTCTTGGTCTAGTTTCTTTCAGCACTTGAAATATGTATAAGTTTATATGATTTGCTGTTTGTACTGTTAGAATGTGAAGTAAATGTAAACAAATAAGTTTAGTAAGTATCAAATTTCAGTGGTCATAATGAGGCAGTTAAGTTTTTGTTTTCTGGTGAACTCCTGTACTTTCCCATTCTCTGGGGCAATACAACAATCTGCTGGTGTTAGATTTTTGTACTTTCCCTGTGGATGGTAAAAGAATCTGCTGGTGGATTCTTGTGCTCTTCTTGTGGACAGTAAAACAACTTGTTGGAGAATTCTTGTGCTTTCCTTGTGGACAGTAAAACAACCTGCTGGTGGATTCTTGTGCTTTCCTTGTGGACAGTAAAACAATCTGTTGATAAATTATTGTGCTTTCTTTGTGGACAGTAAAACAACCAGCCAGTGGATTCTTATGCTTTCCTTGCATACAGTAAAACAACCTGTGGATAGATTCTTGTGCTTTCCTCGTGGACAGTAAAACAACCTGCTGGTGGATTCTTGTGCTTTCCTTGTGGACAGTAAAACAATCTGTTGGTGAATTCTTGTGGACAGTAAAACAATCTGTTGATAAATTCTTGTGCTTTCTTTGTGGACAGTAAAACAACCAGCTGGTGGATTCTTGTGCTTTCCCTGTAGTGCTGTTCTGCTGTTTCATCAAATTAACATTGTTTATAAGTGTTTGTAGTTTTTTGTTTGATGGGTGAAATTTGAAGTTTAGTCTGTAGTGTTTCATTAGATTAGTAGTGTTTTTTTAAGTGTTTGTGGTTCTTCATTACATGAGTAGTGTTTCTGAAGTGTAGTGCTTTTATTAGGTATAAGTAGGTTTTATTAAGTGTTGTTTGCGATGTTCATTAGATTAGCAGTAATTTTTAACTCTCTTAATATGGAGTCAGTCAATGTGACGACCTCGTAACCATTTTGTGCATGTTATATAACAGTTTTCATGCTATAACTTTTAACTTAGTTGTCATTACTAAAAGACTACCAAATTTTGTGAAGATACACATAGATCATTAAAAGCTATAGTATAAATACTTAATGTGTGTAATTGTGTATACAAATTTGTGTATTTTATACCTAACCCATTGTGAAAGGGGTAATAAAGTTTTCACATGAATATATGACCAGCAGCACAAGCAGAGCCTGTGTGAGTGTGTGACGAAGGAAACCAAAAAAACCAACTGAGGACAATGACATTAGTGTTCTCATAAGTAGTTATGGCCATCTATGTGACGATTAACAAGTGTAAACTACTGCTGTTACTACATAGAGCATAAAGAAAGTTTGTATATGACTACTAACAAACAGATTCTGCTTCTGTCTTTGCATAAAGCATTGAGAAAGTTTGTAAATGACTAATGACAAACACACTGGCTTCTGTCATTATATAAAACATTGAAAAACTTTGTACATGCCTATTAGCAGACACAAGTTGCTTTTATCATTATGTAAGGCATTGAGAAAATGTGTGCATGTTTCTTAGCTAACTGGTCATTTTGACCAAACTTGCAACCATTAGATAACTATGTACTGTACCTTTTAATGTAATAAGTGTTTCATCATGTAATTTAGGAAACTTTTAATCAACATCATAAGTATTATGTACACAGAAAGTGGGATTTTTTTCAATTAAGTAATTTTACTAAAGATTTGTCTGTGAACTTATGAAGTCAGTACGAGTGCAAGATGATTTTTGTGTTAAGATTAAAAATACTTTTCATCTTACTGTTTCATGTTTCATTTGCATAACCTAACAGTAA